CTTTTGGCGAGTGTGTGTATCTTTGGGGGGGTTGAGGTGGGAGAAAGGAGAGAGCGTGCGAGAGCAATAGGGGGAGAGGGGCCTTGTTAACTGAGGGAGGGGTGGAGGGGAGGCGTGTGCGAGGCGCTGGGGAGGGAGAGGAGAGAAGGAGAGGGAGAGGAAGGGAAGCGGGGAAGGAGGGGGCAGGAAGAGAGGAACGCGCTGCCGAGTCCCCTTTCCTGGGGCTTCCCCCCTCTCCTCTCCTGCCCTCCAGCCAGCAACTTGGGGGTTTCTCTCCTTCCCTCTCCCTCCCTCACCCTTGGTTTCTTCTGAGTTGGGGTCTGTTTTTACGCCCTCGAGCCCGGTGTCTCTGTGCTTAAAGCTGGTGGAGTTTAAGGCAGAGATTTCTTTCCTTTTTCTTTTTTCTTTTAAGGTGGATTTATTCTCTTAAAGTTGAGCTTCTGCTTTTAGGCTTCAGGCAAGAAAAGGTGGGGGTAAAAAGGAATACAACACGCGCGCGCGCTCGAGCGCACACACCCTCCAAATAAATAAATAAATAAACGCCCCAAGTCGAATGGTTTGTCTCCAAAGGACAGCGGCTCCCCATTGGTCACTCAACCCCTGACGTCACCAAGCCCGGGCACTTCTACTGGCGTCTGCGCCAGCCCACCTTCTGCACAACTTCAAAGCTTGGAGCCAGCTAGAAGCAGCCAGCCAACCAACCAACCAACCAAATGTGTGTGTGTGTGTATGTGTGTGTGACTGTTTCACCGCACCATCACCGCAACAAAGCTGCGCTCTGAAACAGCACCCTCGCTTAGAAAACCAAGTACCTATTCAGTAAATATACCATGATTTGCCCATACCTGTGTATGCTTGAGTAGGTCTGCGTATAGGTAGGTACACATCCATAGTAAGATACCACTCTGTCATTTCATTATACTTCACCTTATGCCTGTGCGTTGGAACCCGCAACAGCTTAAAATGTCCTCTTCAAAACCAAAGCGCAATCGCCCTTGCCCGGTTGATGTGGCCATTGGATTATAGTAGCCCTAATTCTGCACAAAATTAATAACGTTTTCCTTAGTGGGTATTTCCAGAACGAGTCCTCAGGGGAAGCATTCAATAAAAAGGACTCGAATGTTGAAGCATTCTCCTTCATCTGCACAATAGCGTTTACATTTAAGCATCTTGATCCGAAGGCGAATCCTTAGAGATCTGCCAGTAATACATTTTCCCCCTATTGAAAACAGAAGCTCCTGTAATACTTTCAAATATATGCAAATGAGACATGCGGTTAGTGGTTTGGCAAATCTTGATTGCAATATAAACTACCCGAGGAAAAGTGCCTTCGCCCTAAGTTTGCCTTTCGATTACAATTCCAGTTGATTTTATTTTATTGTCAACATTGTTAATGATAAAAATAGAGTCACTTCGCAGTTATTTTTACTTTCCGAAAGGAGGCAATTAGACTTCTAATCAGGAATACACACACAAAAAGAGGGGGAAAATCTCCCATGATTAACTGCACTACTTTGTTCAAATTGCAGCTATAAAATTCAGAACAATTTGCCTGTAATGATTATGGACTGGGTTTATTTTGGGAGGTGAAATAAAAGTGGATATAGCATAAATTATCCTCTAATTATACACCAGTGTCGCCTCAATTATCCTCTTATCAAAATGGTTGTCTAACTGCCGCATTTAGTTTCAATTCTCTCCCATTTTTTCTATAAAAAGAACTTCATACCTTGTTATTATTAATCCATTTATTATTTGCAAGGAGATTTATAGCTGAACAGCCAGGTGGTATTGCCACATCTCTCGCAAAGATGGACTGGGGAAAGACATGAACTGGGAACCGGATCTGCACTGGATCTCTGGCGATCTCTTTCGGGACAAGTCAGCCGTTCCCTGGCGTTATTTTGTTCTCCTGTTTGGCTTTGTTTTAATCTGGCGTCCACTAAGGCAAAAGAATTAGGATCTTTGGCGATTTACAGACGAGCCAGGTAGGAAAATGGAGCATTGGAAAAAGCCAGAAAAAACTGAAGACTGAAGGAAACCGGGGCTCTCGATATAGAATATATCGGTAAAACGGCGGGGAGGAGGAAAACTATTCAGATCAAGAAAGTGCGTGGTGCTACTTTGCAGAGAGATTAATTTTTCTTCCCGATTTAAGATACCGCGTTAAAAAGGACAGATCTTTTTTTCCTTCCCTCTCTTTTTCTTTCCTGTGCTTGCGTCTCTCCGACCACCACAAGTCTTAAAAGCAGGCTCTAAAAGGGCTGTACTTTTGCACTCTGCGTTGTGTAAACAGGGGTTGATGTGAATTGTGGCTGGCAAAGCAGAGCCCTGACTCGGTTGCAGGGCACCTTGTCCGCGGGACAGTCAAAGCGGTGTGTCTTTTTCAGAGTGGATGGATGTTTTC